GAGCTGGAGTTTGTGGGCTCCCCTCATCAGCAACCCCCCATGTAGATGGATCATCCTCTAGTGTGTCCCCTAACCCTAAGATCTCTAAGCTAATGGACATCTTCTCCTTCCATAAGGAGAAGTCTCCCTTGCCGTCGAACTTCTCGACGTCAAGGCCGCGATACAGAGGGGCAGACATCACTAAGGAAAACCTAATCTCTAACCCGAGGATGCACTAGACCTACCCAGAACGAAACTAACCTGGGAATGACTAACCCGACCCTAGGAGCACCTAAACCAGACCTAAGGAGCAAGACCGATCCTAAGAGGACCTAAAAACTAGGTATTTTTCAACCTACCAGACCTAATAGACTCTAAACCTGCCTACCTAAGACCTGATTACGTCTAATCAGACCTACCCCAAGGCTAACACTGACCTAACCAACCTAGATCAGACCTAAACCGAGTCTATTCTGTCCCCCTAAGTCCTAATCAGACCTAAGCCAACCCAATATTGACTTACCTACCCCTGATCAGACTTGAATTAACCTAATCAGATCTAAACTAAGTCTAAACCGACCTAATTAAATCTGATCAGACCTTATCTAGCCTAATACCGACTTCTCACTCACCTAGTTCAGCCAAATCCTCCTATTCAGGCCTAACCGGACAGAATTACCGGACTCTATGACTGAGGATAGGTAACCAAAGTCTACTGCAGATCTAATCTGCCTTTACCTAGGATAGATCGACCTATACAGATCCTAAATACCCTATACCAGACAGAATGCCCTAAGAACCGGACTCTATCTAACCCAATCGAACCAATCAGACCTAAAACCAACCAATTTAAGTCCTAATCAGACAATCCTGACCCTAAACCGACCAATCTAGACCTGTTCTAATCGATACAGACCCTAAACCAGACAAACCCAGCCCTATTTGGACAAATCAGACCTAATCAGACCTAAAACCGGCCCAATCCCGATCTAAATTGACCTAAACCGGACTCTATTGTCCTAAACCGGTCCTAGATTGACCTAAACCGGTCTGGGTTATCCCGAACCGGACCTAAATTGACTCGAACCGGTCTGAACCGGTCCAATTGACCCCAAACCGGACCTGAACCGGTCCAATTGACCTGAACCGATCCGGTTTACCTAACCCGGTCAACTGTTGACCAGAAATTGGTCAACGTTTGACCTAACCCGACTAAACCGGTTCGATTTTGAATCGAGCCCGGTCCAATTAGACAATTTCGATTTAACCGGCTAAACCGGATTAAACCAGAACCCCTAATTTTCGGAAGTTTTGGCAGCCGAGTTAACCCGAGTCAACACAGTGGTTGACTCACCCCGGTTTCCGACTCAGACGTGACTCAGTGAGCCACGGCTGATTTCACCGGAGAACCGCCGGTTTTTCACCGGTTTTCCCTTCCTGCACCTAGATCTAGCGCTTAACCAGGTAATCTTACCTTCTTGGACTCTAAACTCGACTGTGTGACTCAGTCCGAGTCTAGATCCGGAACCTTACCTCTCTTCCACCACCGGATCTGAGCGCCGCCGCCGATATACGTTGCCGATCTCCCCACGAGAAGGCTCCTTTCGACGTTTCGACCCTGAAACACTCGACACACACCGTTAGAACGCTCAAACCTCAACCCCAGAGTTTCGGACTTACCTCGACCGCCGATCGCCGTCGATGTCCGCCACTCCCTGCCTCGCAACCGGGCTCTGATACCACTTGTAGAGTATTTACCCTCCGATTCACCTCACCAACACTCCGATTTCACTCGTGTGAGCAAGAAACGAAAGAAGGAGAGACGACACAGAATTTACGAGTTCGGTACCGAGCTCTAACGCTCGGTGCCTACGTCTCGGGAAGAGGGAGCCGCTATTGGCTAGGTACAACACAGAACCACGCCGGAGAATCGACCGGAGTCGACTACAGCGCAACCGGAGAACCGAAGTTCGCCAAGAGAGAGAGAGAGAGAGAGAGAGAAACCCTAGAGAGAAGTCCAAAAACGCAAAAGTATGCTGAAAACCCGAAAACCCTAGGACTCATAACGCGTCCTTTACATTTTCCCAAAATACCCCTCAGAGACTCTGCTTCATTCCGAGGCTTTGGAAGCCTCCAAACTGATCAGCGGGTTTGGACGAAGAACGCTTCCAACAGGAGTGGTGGATAGGAAAATTTTTAATTTGTCTATT